CCATTGCTTCAGATGTCTCTCTGGAGGGAGTCATTTGGGGAGAGGGAAGCTGTGAAATAGTTTGATGAATGGCATCAATTTACATCCCCCAGGAGGATTCCATATGTTTTTAGCAGATGTTTAACAAGTTACAGCAACACAACTGACTGTGTTGAAACAAATTGCAGGGTGACCATCTCGCTGTTGTCAGAAGTGAAGCTTTCAACACTTCCATCTGCCCCTTGGCAGTTACTGCTTTCCTCTGTAGATGTCTGTGAACTACGTCCCTTCAATTTGTCAGAAAAAGCATGAAGAACACTAATTGTCCAACAAAGAGTTATTTAATTGGAACATCTCCTGGAACAATAAACCCTGAAGTTACGTTTTTTAGCTTCCTTTTTTTAAAGGAGGATAGAGGTGCTTTGTGAAATCTTATAAAAACAAAAATAGCTTCAGATTTTAGTGTCAGCTGGACTTCTAAAAGTGCATTTGAGCCTCCTCCCTTAGTATTACAAGAGAAATGCAAATGCCAAGAAGAGTCAAAACATTTCGAGATAGATATTTGGATGAGTAAGGCATTTGTATGGGATCCAGGATCTCCTTGCTCACGTCCTGGAGCTGCCACAGACCTCCAGTAATTCATTCATTCTTTGTGTCTCACTGTCCTGTTTGCATATAGGGATAGCAGTTGCTCTGTCGTCTTTTCAGGGCAAAGGGACCATCTGGTACAACAGTCTTCCATGTGGCTAGTCCTTAATGAGTGAAAACAGCTAAAAATGTTGTGGGGAAACAAATTTTGTTTACTTGTCAAGTTCAAGAAGTACAGAAAAAGATCAGCTGAAAGTTTCAGAAGAAATAAGAAAGTTGAGAACTTTCTCAAAAGATGTGCAGTTGAAAATCGTAGGTTTGGGCAAAAGCTCCTTTTTAGAAAACAAAAAAAAATCCTATTTTCTATTTTTGTGTGTGTTGTTTTTTTTTTTTTTCCAGCTCAATAATATAGAGCTTTATCTGTTGTTAGCAGTAGAAATGTTTGTAGTCTTAAGTACATTCAGTTTTCCTTAGAAGTATCCCTTCAACTGAATATTAAAATTAGAATTAAGGATTCTCTTAATACAGAACGTTATGGACAATGACCAAAGGTTCATTTACTCAGTGCTCTGTGGGATTTGGTTTTAGGCACCAGTGCCACTTCTTCCTATTACTTCAAAGTTACAGAGAAGGATGGGGGTATGCAGACAAATGGTTAGCTAAGTGATGTCTACCTATTTGTGTATGGCAGTGCACATGGAGCTTCGTGGACTGGAACATCACAGAAAGAGAGTGTCCATTGCCCTAGGATACGGGGTTCCATGTTGTGGTCTGTGAGTCATCACGGATCTGACACAGAAGAAGGCTGTATGTAGAATTGTGCTGCAGCATGCTTTTCCCTCCAGAAAAACATACATGAATGTTAATGTGATCAAGCAAATATGAGAACAAAATTGGGGAAAGATAAATCTCTTACTGAATATTCAAAAAACAACTTAATTCTTCATTTGAAAAAATTCAGTGCAAAGCTGCTTGAGGGCCTGATATTTCTTTCTCCAGAGTGCTAGCTGTTGCTTGGCTTAAGAAGGTTGGGAAATGTGGATATTGACAAAGAAACCAAGTCATAGGCATTGTAGCTTCAGTTTTTCCAGCTGAGCCTGGGAAAGAAAAACTGGGTTGAAAAATACTCTGGCAAGGTTTTAATTACAACTGTAATGTTGAAGCTTGCTCAGACCTCTTGCTACCAGCACAGTGGCTGCCCGCTTCTGCTGCTCTCCCAGGCTGGCTGAGAGCCCCGGGATGCAATGTGATGGCAGATGACAGCAGCCTGATCTGTGAAGCTTCAGTCGGCACACAAGTGCCTGACATTTGGAAAAGTGTACTTGCCAACTTTGGTGCCCTTATCTGGGAGCAGGTGCTGGGCCTCAGACAGTCCATTTGTTGCTCTCTGTGGCTGAGATTGAGTTTGCTTTGAGCTCTCAGAAGTGCTATTTGGTCTTGTGGCAGAGTTAATAATACTACGCGAATTCTGCTGAGCACAGACTGCTCCTGGAATGTGCCACAGATATCTGGAAATAGACTGACACTCGAGTTCCAGCAGGCAGATGCCAGCAGCTCTCTCTGCTCATGTGGCTGGGCATGGAACTGGTGGAGGGCAGGCCAGCCCTGGGGACCCCAGCCAAGCCGGGTGTGGCCGAATCACTGCTTTATGGCAATTCCAGACATTAGGAGGAGTGCTGAGAGAAAATAGTAGGGAAAGAAAGGGAGCAGTCTGCAGGCAGTGGAAGTGGGAGGGAAGGTAGGGAGGACAGGAAAGGAAGCAGAAAGGAAATGGTGCAGGCATAAAGCAGAGGCAGGAAAGAGTTTGCAAGTGCCGGATTAGCTGCATGGAGTTCAGTTCAACTCCTTCAACATCCATGTAGTCACACCAGCGAGCCTTCTGCCCCACTTTGTTTATGGCTTCTCAACACAGCAGCCTGAAAACTTGTATCTATCAGAAATACAGGAGATGTAATCTGTTTTATTCAAGGTTGGTGCTGCATGTTCAGTTTGCAGGGGACACGCAATATCCCTTACATGCAATGACAAATGTAAACCCCGGCTTTAAATCCAAAACCCAGCTCAGTGCTGCCGGAATTCACAAAGGAGCTCCTTCATGGCGATGAGAGCACGGTCGTCTCGGGAAGCTTGTTCTCAGCCATGGCCCCTTAAATTGCACAGTTGAGCATGTAAGAGAGCTATTGTGTCGATGCGAGCATGTGGAAGATGGAAAGCTGGGGTCACGTCTAGTTGACTTCTGTTCATTTACAAAACTGTTTCATAGAATCAGGATGGAAAACAGAAAACGCATATAAGCCTTTGGATACATTGCTCAGTGCATTTTTCCAAAATAGTTTTGGAATAATGATGTCACTGGAGTACAGGGGGCCCCCAAGGAGGAGGGGATCTTGTCTATGGAGTGGAGCTGTTTAACACTGCAGTGTTTTGGGTAGGGTCGAGGCTACCTGTTTCCCTAGGAACCCTCAGTACAAGACCTATGTATGAGACCACAACACAGGGCAGGACGCATGCATTGAGGCTTTTCCCAGCTTATTCATTGCACACAGCAGAACTGCCTGGCACAGGGGTCTCACAGTTCTGCTGGTCATGGGTGTTGTCTCTGTCCAAAGGAGCCCCGAGGTGCTCATGGAGTGACGAGCCTGGAAAGCTGCACACTGAGCCCTGTGCACAGGAATCAGAAGAACGAGGCTATTACCTCATGTCACACTGTGCCTAATAAAGACATGTAAATCCCCTGCACTGCCACAAAGACGGAGTTGAGGTAGACTCATGCTGTGACACAAATAAATGAATGGTGAACTGGCAGTGGAAAACATGGCTCAAACATTATAAGAAAATATTAGACCTTAAAGTGATTGCCTGTCTTAAGCAGCAATAGACTGTAACAAAATATACGTTACAAATATGATCTGGTTGTATAATCTAGTTTTGCTATTACACAGAAATGTATTTGGAGGCTGTAAATGTTAGATTCTGTGTATATCTCCTTGTTTTTATTATTACATTAGGAAAGAAAAAAATGAAAACCAACACCAGCAAATATTTGCACCTGGGGAGTCCTGTATCTCTTCATTATCCCATACGTGAGGCATTAGCAGAGATGATCAGATAGAGAGGCTGATGAAGAGATCTTCTTGCCTTTGCACCACGCTGCTAGAAACTGGCATTGTGTCTGGTTTCTCTACTAACCTGGCAGGACCCAGATCCACATCCCCATCTTGTAGAGCATTGGAACAAGGGCTTCCTGACAGGATGTGGCCCTGCAGGACTGCAAATCCTTTAGCACTAGCTCTGTTACTGTGCATGAGTGCAGTGACCACTTTAGCAAATTCGCTCCCAAGTATTGATTGTTATTATTAATAATGGTGTTCCTTCTACATGCCTTTTCCTCTCTCGGTTTCTTTCCCATCAATGCAGTCAGTACTTCTGTGACCCCATGAAGTGCTGTTTCCCCCGAGGACAGGTTACAAGTCTTTTGAGGAGCAGCTAAGGGAACTGGGATTATTTAGTCTGGAGAAGAAGAGGCTCAGGAGAGACCTCATTGCTCTCTACAATTGTCTGAAAGGATGTTGTAGTGAGATAGGTGTTGGCCTCTTTGCCCTGGTAACAGAAGTAGGACAAGAGGTAATGGCCTCAAATTGCACCAGGGGAGGTTCAGAGTGAGTATTAGGAAAAATTTCTTCTCAGAAGGATTAATGAGGCATGGAACAGGCTGCCCAGGGAGGTGGTGGAGTCACGTACCATGGAGGTACCCAAACAAACATATAGATGTTGCACTGAGGGACGTGGTTAATGGGCATGGTGGAGATGTGCTGGAGTTGGACTAAGTGATCTTAGTGGTCTTTTCCAACCTCAACGATTCTATGATTTCAAGTCACTTAGGTTGGTAAAGGCCCCTATGAATCGCCCTGTGGATTCTGGATTCTGTGTTGGACCCTGTTGGTCTCAGGATAGCCCTTCTGCGTGCAAGAGCCAGGGATGACCTCTCCCAGGCAGTTATCTGTTTTCCTCAAATCTGTGGATGCTGCACTGAATTGAATTTGCTCACCAGAGTCGGAAGTTGCTGGCACGCACACAGAGCACAACAGCACTGCCTGACTTCCTTAGGAAACCAGGCTTAAAAGGGCTGCTTTCCTGTGTCACAAACACGAGCAGTCTTTGCCTTGCTGTGTGCTTCTGAAAGGTTTGCCAGGGGTGCCGCGGTGCCACTCTCACGTGCCCTCGGCAGATCTCTGCGCGCACTTCGGGAGCGCTCCGTAAGTCCCAGGTCCGCAAACCTCCCATCCCTCACTCGGTTCTGCGAACACCGGACATCGAGGCGCCCCCGGCTCTCCCCGGGCCGGGCACCGGGGCGCGGGACAGCCGCTAGCGGGGCGGGCCGGGGCGCGGCCAGGAGGCTGGGCCGGCCCGGGGGCGGAGAGCAGGGCACGGCCGGAGGTGGAGCCGGCTGCGCTGGTGGCTCGGGCGCTCCGTGGCTCCGGGCACGGGGTGCGTACGGCGACGGGAGCGCAGCGCAGCCGCCGAGAGCCGCCCACTCGCCCCAGCTCGGCCGGGCTCCGGGAGTCGCCGCCGGCAGGTAAAGGGCCGGGACTCGCTCTGAGGCGAGCCGCCCGCCTTGCCCGGAGACTCGCGGTGCCAGACGGGGTACCGGCTCCGCAGCGCCCGGGGCGCGGGGAGGCGGCTCGGCAGGCGCGGGGAGGGGGTGGTCCTGAGGCTGGAGGCTCCGACCGGAGGCTCTGCAGTCCCCACACTCAGCATTTCGGTGTTTCCGAGACCCGTCGCCGCAAAAACAGTGGGAGGGTTCGCTGAGCGCCGTGCCTCGGTGGTGTTGCGGGTGCCTGGAGCCGGGCTGAAGGAGGGGTGAGTTGGCGGTGGGAGTGTGTCATCCGCTGCTGATGTGCAGACCGCTGTCCGTCCCTGCTGTCTAATAGGGATTTAGGGCGGTAACAGCGCGTTGGTGAGCTGCCATCCCGCTGGGATGGGCGGGCGTTGTAAGCCGTGCATCTGGCACCTGGAGTCTGAGCCTAACTTTTGCCTTTATGTGTTGTAGCAAGCGAGTAGGCAGCGTTCTCTATGCATTGCTCTCTTTGGTAAGTGTAATTCATTTATCCATCATGCTTTTCTTGGCAATTGGTGAGATCTGCGTGCTTGCTGCTTGTATTTCTTTAATAACAGAGAATTTGGATGCAATTAATAGATCGTAGGCACGCATTCCCTGGAATAGCTAGTGGCTACCAGCTCTGGTTGGGCAGGAGCGTGCTGGTCATGGCTGTGTGCCCGGCTGGCTGCACTCTGTTCTGAGTACCGGCTCGCCCTGGCTTTTTACTAGCAAGTAAAAAGTGTGTGCTCTTACTGTAGAGTTGTCTCCATTTCATGGGATACGCTCAAGTGCTTCATGGGCTCCGCCAGTAAAGTGGTGTTCAGTGCTTTCATAAGGGGCAGCAGTTGTTTAGTCTCAAAAGTATACGAGCTGAGAGCAAATGATAGGAATGTTGTTGGAAGACCTAGGTGCGCGCTTTCTTTTGCATAGTTTGGGGAGAATTTGTCAAGTGTAGGCTGTGCAGTGTGATGTATGTGCTTCTTTGCCGCCTGCTGTCTCTGCAATACTTGTGTTGTATGTTCAGAGGGTTCAGCCGGCCGACCCTCCTGGGAAGGCAGTTAATATTTCATGTTTGTTGTGGCCGAGGCGCTGCTTTTGTTGGCGCTGGCTGAAGCACCAAGCAGTGCTGTTGCCATGAATGCAAGGGTTGGGGGGTGAGGAGGGGCAAGGAAGAGCCCTAACTTCTCCAAGGTAGCCCAGGCTGCCCCAACATTGAGAGAAGACTTCTGTTTCCTGCAGATTAATTAACTGGAGGAGCTGGGTCTAACCCCAGAAGAGACGCAGGTGAATGGAGACAGAGGAGGCACAAAATGTCAGTGTGCATCTGAGTGGCAGGGCAGGATCAAGCCCCAGGTGGGAGCCTGGCCCTGGGGATGCTGGTGTGAGGGCTGCGTGCCATGTTGGATCCCCATACTCTGTACAGCTGCTCACCCCACAGGTACGGGCAAGCCAGCCAGCTTGGGGGCTGCCTTCATTCCTAAGGCAGGAATGCTATATTTCCTTTGTAAATCATGGGGAAATCCCTTTATTCTCTCCGGGGCGTGAGGATGCGGCATGCTGGGAAGAGTGTTGGACTGTCATTTCCAGACTTGCCTAAGATGTCAGAATGGAGCCTAGCAACTTTATCTCCCCCCCATGCTGAACCAAGAGGAGGCTCAGGGGTGTTTTGTCTCGTTTTTCTCTTTTCCACAAAGAAGAGTGGGGATGCGGGTGTTTGTGTCTCAGCTGATGGCAACACACAGCTCTGTCCTGGCGTGATCTCACTTTTGGCTGCTCTCACGTGCATTATACTTCTCAGGGTGGGGCTGGGCAGAAGGGAAACAGGAATGGCTGTGTGCGTATGAAAATGCTGAGCTATCTTTAATTCTTTTGCCAAGTTGTCTGTTTGCTGTTTAATTCAAACGATTTCATACACACAGCATTGCAGGTCTGTTGTTAAAAGGCAGAAACAATTGCTGTAACCAGGAATAACACTGCAGTTCATAAAACATGAGTAACATCTGTCACTGTGACTCCAATTTGTTTCACTGTTTGTGGAATAACCGAGGTGACAGCTCGGGCAGCCAGGTTTAATGCCCTGTGCTAAACCTTTGCTCCTGCCTCCTGCGGCTCACTGTGATTCACAGGATCGATGGATGCAGCTCCTGCTCTGCAGTGGGGGAGCAGGAAGGGCTCTGGACCACCTCACTGTGTGCAGCAGAACCCCGTTGAGTTTGCTTAGTTTGGGTCCCTGTGAACTGGTCTATCTCGTGTGTTTGCCACTTGCAGTGTGAGGGACCTGGTGGGGTTGACGCTTTGGGGCCAAACTCATGAGGGGTCTGTGCTGCTGTAGGGGCAGCATTTTCACTCCTAGCACCTTTTATCTCCCCTTAATCTATCCCAGGTTGAATACTGTAGTCAGTTGAAGCAGAGCCATTTCATGCTTTGATGTGTGTTTATTGGCTCTAGCTTCTCATTTTCATGCTTTTTTTTTTCCTTTAAACTAGTTCTCTCTTCCCACCCTGCCTCCCCAAACAAAATAACTAGAGCAGAGGAGGAGAAAAGTGAATCAACTGTCTTGGTGATTTTTGTGAATGGATTTTCTTGCCTTCCTTGCTGCCTTCTGTGAGATCTCTTCATAATTAAAATATTATGACTATCCTTATGGTAGTCCTTTACTAGTGGCAAGGATCCTAATTTGACGTCAATGCAAAAATACTGGGTTCTGGCATAAGGGCAGATGACATTTCATCAACTGGTGCATGCCCATTTTTTTAAATCATAGTGCTAAGACCATATGGGCAGATAATGAGTTTAAGCTGATAAACAGCTTACAGATTTGCCCAAATAAAGGACTTTCTTCCTAGAAGACGCGTTTTCCTTCAAAATAAATAATGCAGTTCCTGTGTTTTTATTTAATTATCTCTAGTCCTGTCCGTTCTCACCAGGCTGCAGGAAAACAGACACCACTGCTCTGCAAACAGAAGCTATTGGCTTTATGGGGCCGTGGGTCTTGGCTCAGGAAGGACTTGAAACAAGAAGTTCAGATGCCACAAAAAAGCTGAGGCTCCAAATACCTAAATAAGCAGACGGTGGTCCATGTTGTGTTCAGGGGGTTCTGTGAGGCAGTGCTTGGTTCTTGACATCTTGAGGATGAGTCACTGCATGAGGTGGTGGTAGATCCAAGGTCTGTTTGGGAGCTGTAATTAAACCAGATGAGCATCTATACTTCTTGGTAATCCTTAGAGGCTGGGGAGGTAGCTCTTGTTTGGCATTTATTTACAAACCCAGTGTTGTATTTTTAAACACTACTTTTTCTTTTCTTTAAAGAGTCTTTCTGACTAATGTTCGTGTAATTATTTTCCCAAACTTAAATTGGTATCAACAAAACCCGAGGGAAAGATTTTAAATTCATTTTTCTTGTTTTTTTTTTAGTAGTAAAATTGAAATTGGAAAGGCACTTGCTTTGGGAAGTAGAAGTTTGTAGTTGTGACTTCAAAATGGAAACTTTAAAACCAAGTAGTGTTTTAGTGTAGAAAGGACACAGCCTACGTGCTTCTGCCCTAAGATGGTAGCAGTAGGCTATTTGCTTATTCCCTTATAAGCAATTTCTTAGGTTGCTCAGAAAAATTGGTCCAGATACCTGTACTGTGTCTCCTGATGCTTTTTCCTTCTGAAGCTTCCTTGGCTATGTTGTGTTGTTGTCTCCCCTCCCACCACTGGAAGTATTGCTGGACTTTCATTATGGTTTCCAGTGAAGGGATGTTCAGCTGACTAAAGACTTGTTGTCTCATGATCATTTCTGTCTTGTTTCTAATTGATATGACAGCAGAGTTGCATTCAGCACTGCCATTGTTTAGGACTGCAGTGCTCATAGAATCACCGAGGTTGGAAAAGGCCTCCAAGATCATCCAGTCCAACTGTCTACCTACCACCAATATTTCCCACTAAATCATGTCCCTCAGTACAACATTTAAGTGTGTCTTGAACACCGACAGGGATAGCGATTCTACCACCTCCCTGGGCAGCCCATTCCAGAGCCTGACCACTCTTTCAGAGAAGTTTTTCCCAACGTCCAACCTGAATCTCCCCAGCACAACTTGAGCCCATTCCCTCTAGTCCTATTGCTAGTTACACAGAAGAGGCTCAGCATCCCTCACTCCCATTCCTTCCCCTACAGTACCTTTCTTATTTTCTGTTCCCTGCGCTTGAGGAGTCTTGAGTTTCCAAAATGATGCATGAATTACCTTGTCCCTTAGTTCCAGAGAATTCACATGAATTCCCTGCCTATCAAATAATCAGTGGGATTATTTGGGTTATATATCCTCTTGCCATGGAGCACTGAGCCATTGCTTAGCTGTTGGTGCAGATCCCTCATGGTCTGATTTAATATAAATGACCCAAGACTGAAAGAAGAGGCCATAAGAAAGTGTTGCATTGATCTTGTTTTGTTAACGCACCAGCTGCTGGACTAGTTTGTCAGGATGCTTTTATTTGTTTTTTTGCACAGATAAGGTTTAAAGAAACAAATAATTTAAAGGTGTTTTATGAATTGATCCCAGATGAGATTTGCTTTTGCACCTCTGCCGCCTTTGCTCTGTGGGAATGGGCTTGGGGAATTCCTTTCAGCCCAAGCTGAGAGGAAGCAGCATGTGTTTTCCAGGGCTTTTCCAGCTGGTAGAATCCTTCACTGGTCTTCTGCAGAGCTAAAGACAGAGGCTGGGAATTCTAGTGAGGGAATTCTAGTGAGTTCTATGAGATTTGGGGTCAGTTCCCCTCTGGGGGTATCTTGATGCAGGAGACCTTGGATGGTCCATGTGGATGATTCATGATTGCTGGGCAGTCAAGATATCCAGCCTAAGTTTTAAAAATAAAGCAAACCACAAACCTGATATTTTGTAGCTGTCCTTAAAGATAATGGAGCAGTCAAGCTTCTGGGAAGGCTCCTATTTCTGTACTGGATCCCTCATGACATGTAGGAATCCCTACAATCAGTT